ACTCGACTTGCAATCAGAGTCACGGAATGGATTAAGTTCGTAAGTAGAGGTACCACTGTACTGGTAACACAAATAACTCTAGCTAAATCCATTGATAAGGTAAATGTATGATTTATTTTGTATTATTGAAAAGTATATGAATCATATGAGCTAGGTGATATAGACGTATTTTAATATAAATAATTAAGGGAAAAGCACATAGAAATCTTACAGCTTTTTTACTTACTATAATAGATAGGTTTGGTAGCTACACCATCCCATGTTCATTTAGTCCAAAACTGGAAACAAATCTTCTCTCCTTGGATTCAGTTGCCAGTGTCATACATTTTGTGTTTTGATTGAATTTGTGTGGATCTGGCCCTTTGTCTTGACCTGATTGCACAAACAGTTGATCTTACAAAGAACTGCCATGGTTTCTTTGATGATAGCTTATTAAAATACATGGCATAAACATTACAGTAGTTGGCTTCTAATTGGTTAGGCTTCTAACTATGAAGAATTATTTAGATTTTAAGTGAAGCTCAACCTTGTTTAATAGTATGAGCTGGTAAAGGCCAGCCATAATTAGGGTTAGTGCTGATCCAAACCTTAACCATATTTACGCTTTTCAAATGGTAAAGCCTGTGAGGTATGTGACCCTGTGGCCCACACTGTCATGCATTTAAAATCATGACTGAAATATTAGCATGTGGTATATAGGCAATTAGAAAGGCAAAACAGTGAAAGAAGCCATTTTATTATAATCTCTTCCACTGTTTTTATTGCTGTGTATTTCTCTTTTCCCTATCTTTACAGCATGCAGACTTGTAGCTCCCTGCTAAGCAAGGGCCTTTGAAAGTTGCCTGCAGGAGGTTGGAAAAAGAGAGACAACATTCATTTGGGGGCATGTAACAGAAGTGGTAGATATGCTGGCCAAATTCTGAAAAGGATCAGAAATACTGAGGATTCCTACACATCCACTATGCTATTGCCAAACCCAAATGACTGAGTTTACTCTAATTGTGTAAAAACCATAGTAATTTGAAATAATGGTAGAGTTTGAAATGTTATAGTTATTTATATGTCCATGTTGATACTTGTGATCTTGTGCAATGATTGCATATGAAGCTATATTGCTTCACTAGAAAAATACTCTGAAATCAGATTTCTGATTATGCTCAGGGAGATTATTCTATTATTTGGGGGGGGGGGTCTCTCTTTTTTCTCTTTTGTCCCCACCACTGTTTTGTAGGTTCCTACCCTGACAAGCTGTCAGTTTATGAAAAAGAAAAAAAACAGGCCATCAGCCACAAATAATTTTGAAACATACGAGAGTGCTATCTTGCGGTGCAGCTGTAAATTAAAACACAGCACTTTGTTTTTCCATGTTTCTCTTTGAAGAAAGATGGAGTCCGATAAAACTGTGAGAGATGCTGTGCAAAGTGTCCTGGAAGGTTGGTCAATAAGCAGCACTGTCATTGCAAATTATTGAAAGCCCAGGTTGAAAATTCCTAGCTCATTTGATGTCCAGCCATTTCCAAGCATAAGGTGCATTGTTAGGTTTCACTTTGCTGTTAAATGGAACTTCAGCACTCTTTTCCCCTTTTTCTGCAGTTGGAATCACCTGGGAGTCCTCTGGGGCCGGAGCTGCCTATTGAGACAATAGTGGATGACCGGGAGCGTAGGATTTCCCATTCACTGTACAGTGGAGTCGAAGGCCTCAGTGAATCACCCACCAGGAATGCTGCCCTGAGTAGATTAATGGGTAAGTCAGACAGACTTGGCTAACCATGTCCTATGTTATCAGCTCGTTCATAAGGATTTGCAAATGGATTATCAGTGCTCTGTGTGTGTAGGCAACATGTTTCAGGGCAATTGGAGCCAGTAATTTAAAGGGTTACTTTCCCTGCTCCCCCAGTTTTCTTGATGGGAGTCAATAAATTGATTAAATAAGTGTCTGGCCACAGTACAGATGATAACCATGAGAACATCTTAAAATTGTAGATTATTATATGCTCAAAAGTGGAAAAGTTCAGCACTACCCACAGTGGAGGAATGGTTGGTGAAGATGATGGAACTTGCAGAGATGGCTAAATTGACTTCTCTGATTAGAGAAAAGACAACATCTACA